AAACCAACGCCAACAGCCTGGCAGAGTCGTAGGAACTCCTTCTGGTCAGCTGGAGAGCGGTATGTCAGTAGAGGTAAAAGATGTGAGTGCGCAATGAGTCGACATACGCTTGGTGCATCGTCGCACGAATTGAACTCCGTCCTTGACGAACTCGGAGGGAACCTCGAGGATCTCTTGAACCTGGTCGGACATATTGTGTGTGTATGTGGAAAAGAAAGGGGAGTAATTAAAATTAGATGCTGCGAAAGAAGAGATGTAGCTTCGTTGAGTAGAAGAAAAGGCAGAGTCGTCGAATTGAGTCGGAGTCGCGAGGGGTTGAAGAAAGGAGAGTTGAAGTTTAAAGGGGACTTCTTTTTGGTGGTGATCCTAGCTAATCTAGTGGACAGCACAGCTCTGCTCTCTGGCCTCTCCTCTCATGCGACGACGTGTTAACAATTGACTTATCTAATTTCCAATTCGGGGCAAGGCCAGATTGGCTTTGGCTCGGGCCGAGAGATGACCCGTGGCCTGGACTTGAACTTGCCTGACAGTTACATTTCAGTGGAGCCATGTGGCCTGTGGGGAAGGAAGGCGCTGTGCCTGTGCCTGTGTCTGCTCTCTTTCCCAGCTTATTTCCCCGGGCCCCAAACGCGCAGGCGCTAGCAGGTAGACGCCAGCTTCCGCGAGTTGCAGTGCTTTCCGTTTGCTTGCGAAGCTCTTCCCCAGAAAAGAAAGCGTGAAGCTCTCTTCCTCCTTCCGTCATCCGCTAACCTCTTCCCCTTCATCTTTCCATCGTCGTCTACTCTCCTAACAATTCTTGGTCCAAGTTTCAAAGTGTTTTCACGCTCTGACTACGACAAATTGCTCTTTTACCTGTCTTGTTCGCGACCAAGCTTAGAGCGCGCCAGAGCCCGATTTCAATCATCGACCAAAATCGACACTGGAGCACGAGCGTTGGGATCACTAACACACGTAGATCCCTGTAGCTAGGCGATTCTTCGCGAAACGAGCCCGATCGCGATTTGTTTCGATATCGAGGTTTAGGAAAGGAGGACATTGATCGGGCTGACGGCATCCTCTATTCCATTGCTCCCCATCTGTATCTGAGCGCTCGCTCGGAATATCGGGAGCTAGACAGCGAGGATTGCAAGCACAGAGCTTCGTCCTGAATATCGCATCTTTGAGTCAAGAACCATCATATCAGGGGTTGTACCTATAATAGGGCCCCAATCTTGTTACGAGGAGTGTACGTATTGCAAGCTTCCAGTCCAGTTCATTTCTCTCGGGTGTACAAGGCTTCTGAGTCTTGCGGGCGGCGTTTGTTAGCGACGGAACGTTCAATGGCTGATAACTTATGTGTAAAGACCAGAGGCCAACTCTTGTATCTCGCAGGCAGCCTAATTATCACATTTGACAATATCCTCATTACTCCCCAGATCTCTGCACGGCATTAACCTGTGCCAAGTGCTTTAAGTCGGTAAAAATGGCTGAAGAAGACTTCGAAATCGATATCTACGGCGATGAGAGCAACGACCAGCAGCAAGATGACCACCGAGGCGATGACAATAACCAGGACCATCACCGAGGTGATGATCGAAGGGATAGCCACGGTGACCAGAACATGGAAGAGTACCACGCCGACAACCACCACCATGCGGGAGATGGCCACAGTTCAAGTCATCATCAAGCGCATGGCTCTCAACAGGGGACGAAGAGGAAACAGGAGGATGATGGTCGACCAGTTGACCAATCTGCGACAACTTCACTCATGATCTCGGAACTTAACTGGTGGAATACAGATGATGATATTCGAGGTTGGGCGCGAGAAGCCGACTGCGAGGATGAGATTAAGGATATCACCTTCAGCGAACACAAGGTCAATGGCAAAAGCAAGGGGTGCGATTTTCTTAGCTCCACGTCGGGACCTAGATGACTGACATATTCGTAGCCAAGCTTACATCGAGTTCTACTCGCCCCAAGCATCTACTGCCATCAAGCGTCGTATCGAACAGATCATAGCTGAAAGTCAAGGGGCCCAGAAGAAGCTCACCTTGACGTACTGGGCCACTACCAACAATCCCTTCAAGACCCTACCCAAAGACGCCCCTGCCAGAGGCAAGGATCAAAGCCGTGCACCATCCAGCTCATACAACAATGACAGAGGTGGCGGTCATATCGGCGGTAACTTTGGTGGTGGTTTCCGCGGAGGAAGGGGTGGAGGCTACAACCGTGGTGGTATGAACCAAGGCGGTTACAACCGGAACTTCAACAACAATAGTATGGGCGGCTACAATAACATGGGAGGCGGTTACAATGGACCCATGGGTGGCGGCGGCGGCGGCGGTAACTTTGGCTTCAACAACCGGGGAGGCATGATGGGAGGGGGCATGCGTGGTGGCCCTGGTGGTATGCGAGGCGGTCGAGGAGGCATGATGGGTATGAACCCCATGGGTGGGAATATGGGTGGGAACATGGGCGGGATGCCTATGGGGATGCCTGGAAATATGGGCATGGGCATGATGGGACCCAACGGTATGCCTGGTAAGTGATGTAGACAGACAAGTCTTTTTGAGTGCAAAACTAACATGTGCAGGCTTCCAAGGAATGCCTCCCAACTTCAACCCCGGCTTTGGCTTCAACCAGAACCAGGGAGGCGGCGATTGGGGCAACCCGCATGGAGCAAAGAGACCACGACCAGAGTAGAACCCCGTCGTTGGGCCTATTCCTCCGCGCCAAATGGTCCCGATGGCGCCTCCGAGTACAAACACAAGCACAAGCACAAGCGTGGACAAAGGGAAATAGGGACAGCAATGAGAGTCTTAAATGTCTGCATTTAATTCCGATCTCTAGGCCAAGGATGAGTGCGTTTTGGGCAGTTTGCGAACCGGCATGAATGTGCTATCGAGTAAAAAAGTTGAAGGATAATGGAAAGCAGTAACTGGGCACGTGTAACATAGATTATGGATGTTAAGGTTAGGGCATTGGCGTCAAGAAAGCGTTTTGTTTAAGTTTTGTGAGTCACTGAAGAGGAAGTTACGTACGTGAACAGTGATCTCGTCAACCGAGACTGGCCTTGTGCATATAAAGAGCATCAAGTCTTCTCCCGGATCAATTTACTTTCCTCATCACACATCCTTATCACTCAAATGGACTACCCCGCCCCCAGAACTGACCCGCCCATGGCGATGGACACTGAACAGCCCGTTATATGCATCAGATATCGCGCCGCCTGGCCTTCTCTTCCTCGACTGCCCCTAGACAATTCACGAACCCAACTACCGTCCAGTATCCAGGATCGACAAGGCCAAATCTTTGATAGAGTTGAGAGGATCCTCCAAAAGAACAACATCCTAGAGCCAGAGACTGAAATCGAACTGGTCGTACGTCGAATGAACCCAACTGTCTTGATCAAATCACCATGGAAGCAAGACAGCAAGACAAAGTGGGCGCAAGCAGTTGAACAAATCGTGGATGCCATGAAGACACACTTCCGAAGCGCAATCCAAAGAGGCCTTCACGTTGAGATGATAGCGCCGCAAAAGTACGAGACGGTGTACATCGGCGAGGTCGAGGAAGATGTACCATGGGATGACATTCGAGCTGTTGCGAAGCGCCATCTCGACTCCTCCTACGCAACACGCAACTTTCTAAGCACTCTCGCCCTCACCAGAAGAGGCTTCTCCAAGCCCGAAGAAAACCCGATCACTGTGTACATTGGATGCCTTGAAGATTCCGACGAGACCAAGTGGGATGAGATTATTGATGGAATCGAGTCTGAGTTTCGTGAGAGGGGATGGATGGACATTGTTGTCCATATTGAGCACAATTGGTCATTCACTAGGACGACTGTTGACTAAAGGATAAGTCTTTGGATCATGGATATACGATACATCAGGAAACAATACCGGAGAATGTGCAGCCAGCGGGCGTTGAATGGTGGAATCCCACTTGAGTTTCAGCATCAAGAGAAGGCGATGGGATAGCACAGCACTGGGTCTAATCTAGCGTTTATTTGATTACTCGAGGACCACAGAACTGAGGTCAGAATGAAGTACGATAGGACTCATTGGGGTCAGGAACAAAATATAGCTCTGTTCTACCCCAAGAACCCAGACTCATTGGTCTCCTTTGCAGCCTCTTCTTCCTGACGTTCGCGAAAAGTCTTCCGCGGCCACACTGAAATATGCTCGTTGCTAAAAGTGGGATCTTCTTCTCTATTTCTAGAGCGTACAAAGTCCAGGATAGCTCGGCGGAAGGTCATTACATCGATCTTGTTGGGGATGCTGATGAAGATATCCTTCTTCCATTGGTAGACAAAGATGAGGTAACGGATTGGAAAGGGGGAATCTGCCTCGAGATCGGCTTGATATTGCTCGAATATGACGTCTCTCCAGGTTTTATTGAGATTTCTAGTTGTCATTTTGAGATGAAATAACGGAGAGTGAATAAGGTTGTGTTAGAAACTGTGAAGTTGTTGATATGAATTGAGGTGGTTGCTTAACTTGGGTTGTTAGTCATGCATCGTACGTCACTTGATCGGCAACAGCAGCCATCAGCTACAAGATCACAGTCAGAAGCCATAAAGCGAGGCTGAGGTAAATATAGAATATAAAACAAAAAACAATGCGTGGGAGGAGAATCTGTGAGTGAATTCAGCCGTTTGAGGCTTTGCATCATCTTTCTGATTGTTCTTGCATGCAACCTGCAGCCTTTGATACCTAAATTATGTACCATAAGGTGAATAGGGGCATCTCAGATCAAACAGAAAAAATCGAAATTCTTTCTTCAGTGCCCCGATCTCTATAGCCCCGCATATGGCAGGCAGTGTTACTCCGGCGGTAAGTGGAAGGCAGGCATCAATTCGTCTGATCTTCAAAAGGAAAGAGCACACCCCCTCCTTCCGCCAACATCCAACCCCTCACAACACTCTCTCACCACTCGCAGAGATGACTCTCTTTTAGCCAAAACAACATCAGCACCTTTTTCTGAAAATATCCTCCTCGGTACTGATTCTTACAGACATGGCCACACGCAAACGCCCCCGTGACGTGGAAGAATATGACAAGTACCAGGGCCTCGTCATCTACGTTGGGAACGTTCATTACGATGCCAGCCCAGCCGACTTTGAACAATTTCTTCACGATCATGGAGTATCATGCAAACTTTACTGGCCTGAAGCCGGAGAAAGATCTCATGGCGGCTGGTGTTGGGCTCGCTTCCATCATCATGACGATGCTAGCTATGCGATCAACAATCTTAACGGCGCCATTTTCTGCGGAAGAAAGCTAAGAACAGGACATGTAGCCACCAACTCTGTGAGTCCCTCCTCAAATGATGTATCTCTAAAGATGCAGCGTGCGAATGATCAGGGTGGCTTAGCTAACATCGTCCGAAGAAACGTGCTCGCTTTCAAGATGGGCCTTCGTCCTTCCAGGACCGCCCTGAAATCTACGATAATCCATTTCGACAAGAGAATCCATTTTCGTTCCCTAAAAAGTTCCAGACCTTTAACCCTCACACTTTTTTTCAAGATTACGAGCAGATGAAATACCCAGGCCACTCGTCACATTACTTTCACCGGCCTGCTGAGCATCCTGGCTTTTACCCCTCGACAAACAGCCGACGACCAGCGCCCCCCTTTAGACAGAGTGCCAACTACGGGGTTCAGTACCCAGAATGCTACCCGCCAAAGAAGATGGAGCATCTGGATCACCGTCACATCCCAAAACTGCAGGATGTTTGGGACGCAGATAAACCCTTCCTTAGCACTGCGAACATCTTCGCCAAAGGGATCAAGATATCGGGACTGGCAATCACGGTCAACCACGGACAGACCCCCGCAGATGGGGCAGTAGCTCTTTCCAGGCCTGAGGAACAGGAGTCGCAGGATGGAAGTATGGACATAGAAATGACCGAACCGCGTCCCCAGCTATATTGGCAACCGGGCCGAGTCCTTGGACCGGACCCCCAAGAGAGAGCTTACATCTCTCACTCCGAAAATTTTGTCAGACCGTCAGATATGAGTACTAGTGTTCTCTCGGCAACGTGCCGGAGTCACATCGTTTCATACAAGCGCCCTCCAGGAGTTGGACTTGGTTGGGGCGACTTTGATCGCTTCTATGAATGGCAGTTACTCGGCCGTAAGGTAAGGACAAGCAATTCATTTGAATTCCTAGCAAAACCACTAGCTAATGTCTCATTTAGGTTCAAAAGTCGATGGTGCGAGCTCAGAGGTTTCAGCAATCCAATTCTCCCCACATGACCTTCATTTCCGAGTTGACTGGCTGCCTTCATATTATACGAACAGATTCGACCAAGATTGAATCTCGAAGGAAACTCAAGAGACCCAACTTGTGGCAGAAGCTCAAAAATGGCAAGAACTAAAGGAGAAAATGAGACAGATTGATGTTAGTGGAGGTGATGTTAGCGAAGGTTGAGCGAGGATATTTTGGCAGATGCTGAGATTTGCACATGAAACAACCTTGTCAACAAGACGAAAAGTTTATAATGGAACATGAAGGATGACCTGGAGATAGCTTAAGGCAAGAAGAGTATGAAGAAATAGGCAGTGGATCATGTAGTGGTGTTGGGGTGAAAATAATCGATCATGTGGCCGACTCATAACTAAGTTTCTCGAAATACATACATGTGAACAAATACATGTGAACAAAATGACTAGCACAACAAAGCTGCTCGACGTGTAGATTACCACCAATCCGTCTGTTTGTTGGTACTTAGCCCACAAGCCTCTTCAAATGATGCCTTCGCGAGCGGCATTTTGAACGGGCCAGTCTTGCCCGCACGTTTCAACGCCCAGCTCTCCTCTCGAAAGTTCTCACATCCCCGGAGCCACTCGGGCTCGATGGCTGTGACTGTCTCCAGGAACTGACAGTTTGTCATGACGAAGGAGTCAAAAATGACCCACCTGTGGTTGATTCCTACAAGGTTGCTTTCAGGAGATAAACCAGCGTGCCAGTTGTGATGAAGAACTCTGTAGCGGTTGTTTCCACTACCAACGTCGCTGAAAGCCACGCGATGACTAAAGGCCCAAGCAAGCGCTTGGCGGAGATTGTCATCACATTCAGAGGTCTCGAGTTCGAATCGCTTGGGCTTATCCTTGAATAAGTCGGCAAATGACTTCCTCAGCTTCATGCGAATACGCTTGAATTCTTCAAGGGCACGCATGCTGAGAGAATTGTCCGAGCACCACCCCGATACGTCGACGTAAACCCCATCATGTCTAAGATCCTCGGCCTCATCTTCCTTCTTCATGAATGCGTCCACTGCGTTGAGCTGCGTGATGTGATCAGAGGTGAAACAGGCAAAACGATGTGCCTGACCTGAAGTGGAATAGGGGCCTTGACCACGGACAAAGATCGGATGCCGTGTGCTTCGAATGGCGGCGATGGTTATCATGTCACTACTGCAGCCGAGCTCATGAGCCTTTTCAAGTGCGTTGAACCATACGGGGTGGACTGGAAGTTTTGAAGCCATCTGGCCCTTGGGAGTGATAGTCCCAGTATCGTCAAGATATCCCCTATTCTTAGTTAGTGCCAGAAATAACGAGATAACGAAAACGGAAGACAGTACATAGCAAGAAGATCTTCGAGAGCGCGAAAGAAGACTTCGGGATCAGGTTTGTCAACAAAATCAAAATTGGCTACATCATCGAATCCCATAGCCTTGATCTGTAGAACCAAGCGAGAAAGGTCGCTTGTGTGAATGGAAGCGGGCGTTGTCGGAAGAAGAATCTCATCGTAGTGCTCCTTCGTGTAAATGCGATGGCATACGCCTGGCTGATTTCGACCAGCGCGACTGGCTCGCTGCTCTGCTGCTGTCCTAGAGATAGGCCTGGTAAAAACTGTCCTGAGGCCGATCCGGGGATTAAAACGCGACTCAATACAGAGTCCAGTGTCTGGATATCATGGTCAGTTTCTCCAGTCCGAATTGAACAATAATTTGACAATGGCCAGCATACCAACGATGTAGACAACACCATCAACCGTCAGATTGGCCTCTGCAATATTCGTAGAGATGATGCACCGACGGCGGGACGATTGTATGAGGACTCTTTCCTGCTCTGCTTTGGGCAACTGAGAATAAAGGGGCAACACTTCAAGACCCCAGGTTGCCGATCGCAACTGTCCACAAGCATCTTCGATCTCGGCTGTAGACGGCATAAAGACAAGAATATCACCATCCCCAGTAGTCTGATGGATGTGCTGAGCGGTATGAAGAGCTAGACTAGCGTAATCAGGAGTTGGTTCTTGGAGATAACGGATCTCGACAGGGTGCTCTCGGCCGGATAGAGGTAGATGACAGCCCTGACCGAAGTAGTTCAGAAATATACCCACGTCAGGAGTGGCAGACATGATGACTACTTTTAGATCAGGGAAGAGTGGTAAAGCACGCTTCAATAGTGCTAGAAGTAGGTCTGTCGGGATGGTGCGCTCGTGGGCCTCATCAATGATGACACAACTCTTTAGAGGGTGTTAGGAAGAGGCGAAAGGCGCTGGACACAACACTTACGTATTTGCCGAAAGAACCATTGCCTTGAACCAACTGCACAAGCATTCCGTCGGTCATGTAGCTTAAGCGTGTTTTGACTCGGGAAACACGCTTGTCGAAGCGAACCTGATATCCCACTTCTTCACCCACTCTGACATCTAGCTCAGAGGCGACCTTCTCTGCACCTGAAATAGCAGTTGGCCGATGGGGCTGTGTACAAGCAATAGGTTTTGATGAACCAAGTTCATCGAAAAGAATGAACTGAGGAATCTGTGTCGTTTTGCCTGAGCCCGTTTCGCCAGACACGACAATCACCTGTGTGAATTAGTGCTATGCTTTATGATGTGAAGAGTGCAGCTACCTGGTGTTGATGATAAATGTCAAGAAACTCTTGACGCTTGGCTGAAGCTGGAAGTCTCCGACGAATGGTGAGTAACTCAAAATATCTTCTGCTATGAAGATCATTTTCTCGGAGTGGATGAGCTTCACCGTCCTCAAGACGAATACCATCCTCTGCAGTTGAATCACGAAACGACGTGTGATCCATGGTGATACATAGGGTAAGGTAAGAAGACTGTTGCGAATGATGGAAGAAAAAAGAAGCTGCAATGAAGCTATGCAGCTTTGAGAAGGTAAGTGGGTTGAGTGCAGATCTGAGGCATCCGTACCTTCTCGTGTCGTCTACGAGCCCCACGTGATTCCGCTTCGATTACAAGAGGAAGGAGCTACCTTGGACTGCAAAAATAAAAGGGGGAAGGCACTGGCAGGCAGTGCCTGCATCTGTCGACAGTGTCAAGAATAACAGCTGCAGGTAATTTTGTGCACTCGAAGGTGCAGTCCCCCCCTTTCAAGGGCATCGTCTCAGGGGCAATAGGAGCCAAGAGAATGAATAAAAGAGATGCGAATAGATAAAAAAGGAGAAGCTCTTGGTTATATTTCAGAAACCTGTAAGCTTTCTTCTAGTAAACGCTTTGCTGTGCCACCGCTCGTGATTGACTGTCGACTTCATACAGTCATTTCGAGGTAATAAGTCGAGTTTCTAGGGTCCGTAACTTAAAGCTCTAGTACTAACTCTACACTGAAGAGAGAAGAATCATCAGCATATACGAAGCCGAATCCCAATATTAGAGAAGAATAATAGAGATAAACTGGGATTGGCCTCTGTTTGGATTCATAGAGACGAAGTCACATTAATGGAACTCGCGTTTTAGTTGGTGAAGCAGCTGACTGCCAATGTACTTATCTAAAGAGATATATTGATTTAAATGAGATAGAATATATCCTTGATAAGAATGCTTCGCTGAAGATTAGGAGAAAATAACTCTACCTAGTAATTTTGTAGAGAGTCGCCGGCCTAGGGAGCTCCGTCTGACTCTCAGCTTTGCTATTTAAACCTTAGCAATCGACCCAGAGAGTTAATAGACCGCAATATCAGCCCATTAATTAAGTGAAGCGACATTGGGGAATCGTGATTCCAATGCGTAGTTGCTGATAACCTCATTCTCCTATCTCCATGCGTTCCAACACTGCAATTTAGGCTTGCTATTTGCCGGTTCTTATCAAAGAAACACGAACAATCAATGCTTTGGTATGTTAGGAGACATAGAAATTACAGCTCATTCTTCTAGAAGCTTATGTATTTGCAATTGTTATGCATGTTCCCCCCTCTCTGACATGGAGACCTGCATTGGAACAGCATTGGAATGCTTGGTTCTCTTTGAAGGTTCCTATATTCAATAAAACTGCTCCAATGCAGTCATACGTAAATATTGGTAGAATCTGCAATTATCGGCGACGTGCATATCCCTTTATTGGGCTGGTAGATGTTGGTTCAAAACGCCATTCAACTTATCCGCCCTTTGCCAAGGCTAACGGCAAACTCTCTTAGGCAAACATTCGTTCAGCGTCTGTGCTGGTCAATGTGACTCGAGTCCATCCATGTTCGAGCTAAAAATGTTGAACAAAGGAAGTGTTCGAAATATCACATGCGGCGACCAACGAACAGTTGTTGTTTGTTTGTTCCAGGTCAGCACATGGTGTGAAGAGATTCAATGGCCTTTGATCTATAAATACCTAACTCCACGGCTCAAGATCCAAGACTCAATACCAACAACAACCAGCTTCAACTCAACGGGCTCTAGGGGTCCCATCCCTACATTGCCAATCAACAATACTGCAAATCTCAATTCCCTCACTTCACCAATATGTCGACCGCACAGGATTACTACTCGGATGAGTGGACAGACACTGATTCAGAAATCAACTCAGACGACCTCATGGAAATCGATTCAGATGATGGCTCAGATGCTGGTTCAGATGCTGGTTCAGATGCTGGTTCAGATGACAGCTCGGATGGCGACTCGGATGACGACTCTGACGACGGTTCAGAGCTTGATCGTGATGTTTTTGGCCCTCTCGTTGACATTACCGAGGAGTCTATCATTGCTCTGGCCACTAGAATTGCCAAAGATGTGCTTCATGTTATCCCAGGCAAGGCAGAGCTTCTTAACACAGTTTCCGGGTCTTACAACATCGTCCACATTGTGCAGCTGGAAACAGTCAAGCTGGTTATTCGAATCCCCGCCACAGGCTGGGGTGATGGAATGACAAAAGCAGCAGAAGATGCCCTTTCATCGCAAGTCGCAACAATGCGTTTCATCAAAGAACAGACCGGAGCGCCTGTGCCCGAGGTGCACAGCTGGGACCCAACCAACAACAACGAGATTAGTGCACCTTTCATCTGTATGAGTTTTGTTACCGGAGAGACCGTGTCTAGTGTCTGGTTCAAAGACTCAATGGATGATGAGGCGCGAGAGCAGTTTCGTCTCAACATTCTGACCAGCACCGCAGCTATCATGGCCAAGTTCTCTGCTATGACCTTTGACAAGATCGGCTCTCTCATGCAAGCAGAAGACGGTTCCATCTTTGTCGGTCCAGTTTTTGAATGGGACGAGAATGATGATGGCAGTGTCCATGCTAAAGCTACGCGCACTTACTTCTCAACAGACGAGTTTATGGCATGCAGCATTGCGCCTTCAACTAAGGATGATAATACGTGGGGGCAGGCTGAGGGCAAGTTGCTTCAAGTCCTCTTGGAAAACGCGCCATTTCTTCGTTCTCATTCTCACTTTGTTCTCTGCCCACCCGACTTTGACTCTCAGAACGTTCTTGTTGATGAGCAAGGAAACGTGACCGGATTGATTGACTGGGACCATTGCCAGACAGTACCACCTCAACTCGGTTACGCCTGTTATCCAGGATGGATCACTAGAGACTGGGATCCTTTGATGTATGACTGGCCCCATTCGCCAGGCTTTGAGGATTCTCCCGAAGACCTACAACAATATCGAGCGCACTACAACAAAGCGATGTGCAAGAAATTGTCTCGGCAAGGAGACTCTGCTCTCACGCAAGACTCCCACATTGCTGAAGCCATTGCTATTGCAGCATTCAGCTCAATGAACAGGCTGGAGATCTGTCGCAAGTTTGTTGAAGTCGCCCTAAATCTGCACAAAGACAGCAGTCTGAGTGTACTTATGGACATTGGAGACGATAACCTTGACAAAGAAGATTGGGAGGAATTGAAAGACAAGCTGAAGGCTTTGGTGTGTTCGCCAGCCACACCCTCACGAGAAGGTTGAAAGGAGTTTAAATAGGAAACAAAGAGACTTAGATAATTGATTCGCGTTCGTTTCTGTATAAGTACTGCCTTAAGATGACTCGAGAAGATAGCTCTAATCACAAATCGTATCGCAAACATTTGAATGATTATTACCACGAAGACAACTAGTCAAGTACAATCATATAAACTGATAATTTAACCTTCACCATGGGATGCAACAGGAGAGACGGAAAACATCATTGGTAAGTAAACCCCTAATGGATGACTACAGAAGCTAACAAGACAGCCCCGTGTGCAATCAGAGTGCCAAAACTCGATGTGTAAAGAAACAACATCTCGCCATATGCAGTAAATGTAAATCAGGCTATTCATTGAAGCACAATCGTCGATGCCCCTATTGCTCTGACAAGGGGACCAAAGAGGAAAAGAGAATCGCGAAGGAGAAGAATACTATCCAGGAGGAGGAGGAGGAAGAGTGATGTACAGCACGTGGTATATGAGCGAAGAGGAGTAAGAGAAGGGAAGTTGGAGAGAGAGGTAAGAGAACGTTGAGCAGTTTAGGATATCTGGGTATAGAATGGCTCAGTGTGTACTACTGGTAGTTTACACTGAGCAGAGTTGCCAGAGCGAATATGTTTCTTGCCGCTTGCTTTGATATTGCAATTGCCTTGCTTATGGATATTAGACCTGTCACTGTTTTGATAAAGCATAGTTTTATGTTAAGGAGTTAAGGAAATAGCTGGAATTCATCAAGACTTTCAGACGTCTAGGATCACAGTTCCATTGTTGTCAACAAGCTCAGCTAGCTGCGCCCAGTAACACGTCAATTACGATAAAACCACATGCTAGTAGTGCTTGAATTCATAATTGATGCTAAGAAGCTGGAACTTGGTTGATTGGTTCTCTGTCTGGCTTGAAACCCCCAGGGATAATGAACTCAACTGTCACTCTAATTCAAATCTCGCGCAGTAATTTTGACATAATGTTTACACAGAAATCTGAGTCTTTGAGATTAACGAAGCGAGGTTTCAGGATATAAAAAGTGATAAGAGAACAGAAAGCAACTGGAGACACACGTTGATCGGGCAGTTACTGAAGGTTGTTTCGACTAAGCGGAGCTACTTTTTCAGATATAAAAGTGAATGCTAAGCGATTAGTAACAGACTGTAAGGCTTTTTAGAGTTAGTACTTTGTAAGGATGGATAACTAGACGCTTCAAGGCTGTCTTTACCCTTTTGGAGGATAAGCATTATTCCCCAGCCAGGCAAAGCAATTTGTCACTGGCGATTCTCTTTCTCAGGGGTACCATTTGCTTTGGTACTGGAAGAACGTAGGTATGACCTAGAAGTCATGAAGAACATATAACGTATGCAACGTCACAAGTTGATAGCTGTGGCGCATACCTTGCGAAGGAGAGGCGGTGAGCAGGCTAGCCACTTGGCAAATCGTTGACAAGCTTTGGTCCCGTAAAAGAAAAACTCGGGAGCTTTTTAGACGAAGTCTTATTTACTGACAGATGAAAAAATGAACAGCCCAACTGGGGAAGAAATGCCGTTAGTGCTTGATGTGCGCTAGTGTAATATTACAACTGGTTTGTTTACGTCTTACTGTCCCTGATCTGACCTTGCACTCCCGAGGAAGAGTCTTGCCATACGTGGGAATAATTCCGAGTTTCTCGCAACGAGAGTTAATTGGGTCGGCATTCACATAAAGGTCTATGTTCAACTGGTGTAGAGATCTTGACTTCGTAGCCTGGAGCGTTGCTATACAGACCCCACTGAGCCTGGCCTTGTGCTGTGGAGGTATTACGATGATCTTTGATTGCGTGTAGGGTGAGATATAAAACTCACGGCTAATACTGAAATAGATAAGGTGTCCTTTCTTTTGTACGTTCCTCTGGGAGATAGATGTCTACTGTGTAAAAGTGTCTGGCTCTTTTGCCATGCTCCACAGAATAAGCGTTCGTATGAGACCCAGTAACAAAATGAAGTTAGAACACGATTAGGTTGATTAGCTCACGATAAGCGAAAAAGTATTTATAAACACCTAAACTTGAATGGCTTAGGTAGTATTTAGTATTTGCATGCACTTGGACAGTGTGTGTTTGCGTGTCGTTAAACGGTAACAGGCGCGCTTCAAAGAGCGTCAGCCATATCTACTACCTCATACTGACATGGGGTGAGACCTTATTAGCTAATGTGCTGGTTGTCTCCCAGCCATTTACGATTTCCCTCGAGCATGAATGTCGTGTCTTTACCAAAGTTTGACTTCATAATAAACACTCAGCTTCACTTACGGCACGGCAAGGACGATATTTACCGCTGGTGAATAAGCTCTTGGTTTTCAGCTTTTCAATTGCTTGGGCATCTGACTTTCAAACCATGCTTCAGGTAATCGCTAAGAGTTATGAAGCTCACAGAAGCTTCTTTCTCGGGGGTTACAAGAGGCTTTTAGGAGCTATTATTCTCGTTGTTGTTAATTCTGCTCCCTCGATCTTCGACGACTCGAAACCCCGCCGCGATAAAACCACTCATCACATGTAAGTCTTGCTCAGGAAGAGGAGGAGAAGGGAGAATATCCAAGACTAATGCAACTTCTAGGACAAAGATGCCTCCATTTTTGTGTAATGAGATCTGGAACCTTGTATTCTCCAACTTCGAGGATACCATAGATGTCGATAATGGATCAGATCATGGCCTTTATCCATCCCCCAAAGACACTGATATTCCAACTCTTAAATCGCTGTGTCTTGTCAGCCATCAGTTCTACAGATTGGCCAGGCGAAATCTGTATCATACCATATCGAGCGGAAAGCTACCCGACCAACAGAATAATACAAAGATGTGTTTACTTGCCCGTACGCTCCTCTTAAACCCGGAGCTCAGGTCGGAAATCCGTGCGATCGATCTGAGTTCCTCAGGAAACTGGAAAGCTCCCTTGGTCAACAGTGAGTTTTGGCCCCCAAGCATTGAACGGGTTGAGCCTACTCAGCTCCGAGACTTGCTGAGGGAAGACATAGAAAGACACTCTGCCACCGAGGCTGGGACATGTTTTCTTCTGGCCCTCATGCCAAAGCTTCGGATGGTCGTATTGACAGACCCCCAGACACATTCCAAGGCGCTGACCTGGATCCTAGGGGGAAGTATGAAGACTCCCCAGCCTGGAACAGCAGATCGACCAGAACCAGTTGCGAACTACCTCGGTCAACTAGAAGAAATACACTGGTCGCCATTACGGGCCAAATCAGAAGACCCGGATACTTGTAGCACGGGACATTTACTACTCCTTCCCAGCATCAAGCGACTCTTCCTGTCACCTTTTGCACCCAACCTCACTATTAGTCCCCCCATGGTTCCAGATCTTCAGAGCGGGCTACAGAGTTTGACACTCGACGGTGGTATGATCAGGCCCGCCTTCCTACACTACAGTCTTTCTCGGTGCAAGGCCTTACAGTACTTGGACCTGGATCTTACAGATTGCTACGACGTCAATGAAGAGGATTTGACGGTGAACCTATACGACTTTGGAAGAATTCTCAGAGAGTTTGGACAGGCCCTTGTCAGCCTCAGGCTGAGATTTTACGATTGCGAAGAGTACGCACAAAGCAGGATTGGCTCTCTACAGGGGCTTAAGCGCCTCCGACATCTTTCAGCTCCAATATTTGTACTTGCAGGTACATTGATGGACGCAGTCCCGCTATCGGAGGTCTTGCCTGAATCCGTTGAGACGCTTGAGATGGATTTCGTTGATGTGTGTAGGGTGGTAAATTGTGACACTCTGGCAACAATGTCTGCTGCCAACGACGACCGAGTGATTCGCTTCCTTTACAACAACCAATTACCCAAACTACAGGAAGTTGTATACGGTTTTTATATTGACGGCGAGAATGACAGGATCACTAACTTCACTAAAGTTGAGGGCTGGAGTGTCAAGAACGAGGCACGACTACGGCGCTCGTTTGCGGGAGAGCCTTATTCTGGGAGGCTTGAGCTAGTACGCGGAGAATAGGATAACAAGATTGATATTGGTTCACCCTCCCTACCTACGCACCTACGGACCTAATGAGATAACGAAATTATGGCTTGGGAAGAGATGATCAATTTGAGGAAAAGCAAACAGACTGTTGTATGACAGATATATTACATCACCCACACACGAGTACCCGGCGTGAATATACTGAGTTATTTCAGCTGAGAGAAGAGACAACTTGAGACGGAGCAGAAACGGTTTTCATTGGCAACCTGCAAGGTATCATTCCAGACTACGACAATGGTCTTGATTCAAGCCACAGTCTTGCTCGTGCATATCATGTTACTCGTGATGATACCCTACATATCGTGGGTTACACAGCATAAGTACCTCACAAAAGTACCTTTTGTACTTAAGCACAACCTGCCAGCCTGATCAGCCCCGATCCCAACCCCATCGACATTTCATCCCCTCTCATCTTCTCTGCCTTCATTCAATTATACCCCAATTGCCATCTCAATCACTATCATCATGCTCCTGTGTGTGCCCAACGAGATTTTGCTTCACATTTGCACCACTATCGAGTGCAAAGATTGGAAAGGCGGATGGGATACCAAGTCCTCCTACGAGGCACTCTTGTCTCTGAGCCGCGTTTGCAAACGATTGCGTGTGATTGCAGAGTTCCATCTCTTTCGAAGCATGTTTGTCCTCGAAGAGGACCCTGACGAGAAATGGATGCAACTTGCAAGACGCCTGCAACAGGATCCTGAGTGGGGTCTCACCGTGAGGACGTTCTGCTCCCAGAGATACGATCCCATGGCGCATCCATACTTCCTCGACTGGATGACCAAGCATTTCAAAAAGCTGTCCTCATCACCTGACCGTGATAGAATCCCCCAAGGTCTCAGGACTGTCATACAGCAGGAGTTGAAATTCAGGATATTCAAACGGCCATACAGAAGTTTGAAAGTGCTTCTCATGCTTCTCATGCCAGAGCTGAGACATCTCGAGCTCTGGATTACCGACCTCAAATCTACGCCGTTTCTTTTGACTGACGCATTTGAAGGTGACCAAGACAAAGGTTATGCTGGGTTTGAGCCCAACGAAGGAGGACAGGTGTATAAAGGTATCCCGAATATCCTCCTTTTCCGCCATCTCGAGTCGGTAACTCTGAGATCCTATGATGACAAACTGGGCTCCCCAATACGGTGTAAAACAGTCAGCGGTCTCTTCAACCACCCAAGCATCAAGGCCCTGAGATTTGACGGCTTTGCATTATTGCAATATACTTGTTCGAAGTTGGGCTGGAGCAAGGCTCCCAGTAACCTGACTAGGCTCGACCTTGAAAAATGCATCCTACAGCCCATGGCCCTCCAATCCATCATGGAGAAATGCACAAGCCTTACCCAACTCAATATGGGCCTCGTAGGCTACGGAGACGTGAAAGATGCTAGCCATAATCTTGAGGAGTTTGGCGACGTTCTCAGAGCCCATGGGCGAAACCTGATCGATCTTTCAATCACGAAAACAATGTGGGATCCTCACGTCGCTGATTGGAAGAACTACATAGGAAGTCTCAGAAAACTGGAAGTTCTGAGACACCTATCCATCGGTAGGCTCAACTTTGTTGGGCCTATAGATAATGAGAATAAGAGGTACATAACTATACACGACAAACTTCCTCCATCCTTGGAGACTCTCACCATTGAAGCAGAGATGACGGGCTGCTCGTGTGACTTGGATAGAGCCAGAGAGACAGAAGAGCTAGTTTGCGACATGCTCATGTATGAACCACTCCCGCGGAGCTTGAAAAATATATACATGAAGTTGCTACGGGGGCCAGGCGCTCAAGGTTATGCAGTGAAGGAAGCTGATAACCTTGGGGCCTGGCAAGTCCGGAAGAAAGGTATATGGGTGCGGAGAAGCAAGATGGCAAAGGGGGATGATCACGAGATGGAAGATGAGGTGAACGAGGACGAGGATGAGGATGAGGATGAGGATGAGGATGAGAATGAGGATGAGAATGAGGATGAGAATGAGGATGAGAATGAGGGCGAGGATGAGAATGAGGGCGAGGATGAGGACGAGGATGAAGAAGAAGAAGACGAGGGCGAGGGCGAGGAGAAAGATGAGGAAGTCGAGGAAGTCGAGGAGTGCAGGGAGTTGGAAGAGCATGAGGAGTGGTCGGAGTGCGAGGAGGATGTGGACTATGAAAAGGACAAGGAGTATAGAGTGATTCAATTCATCAGCAGTGCGACTCGGACTGGATAAGGTAGTTAGTTCTAGTACAAAAGCCCTCGTGAATCTCATTTCAAGTACACGATCAATATGAAAATCTCATTGCTCCAATTATCTTCTTTTTGTTTATAGCTAGGGTTGTGATTGAACCTGGCTACAGTGCAGAGCCAGCATATCACCCAACATCGTATATTACAAGGCTGGGTGTTCATTCATTATTTCCGTCGACTTGTCGAGATACCAATAAGACTTACACAAACTTAATTATTCCCGTTGAACTAAATCAAATTGGATATACAGTTCCACCAAAGAGACTTCAGCCCTGATTCGTTCTGGTCTCTCGGTAATGCCTTGAAGCTGAGTCATGGCCTAGCCCGTTAGATCATCGCCAAAGCTTAAACATCGAACCACTATCATCATCCTCAGATAACGAGCCCAAATGGAGAGCGCACTTCCTAAAATAAGGTCAATTGGATCTGCCCGGAATGTTAGTACATTGATACGGGCAACATCTTGTGCATCCTGCTCTTCTTCGTCACCGAGGAGCTTCACAAGCTTGAACCGCCCCCCGCCAAACTACCCAGGCCATGTTCCTCTAACGAGAGTTGAACGGGCTGGGCTGGCCATTGGTGCCAGCGTCATGTCCTTTTTCGATCCCTATCGCCATGGTATGCGAAATAAATTCCTGCAGGAACCCTCTGTTCCTCTAGCTGATCGCTCTCAGACCTCATCGCTGCTACCGGCGAAGCCACTGCTACACCCTACTTTATCTATCGCCTCCGCGACGCCATGCTCGCCGATCCAACCGGCCGTCGTATCCTCCGAGCTCGACCTCGAATTTCCTCCAAAACCCTCTCCCTAGAAGCTCTGCGCGCACTGCCCGAAAACTCCGTTGGCCGCGCCTACGTAGGCTGGCTCGATCGCGAAGGTGTGTCCCCCGATACTCGAGCTACGGTGCGGTACATCGACGACGAAGAGTGCGCATATGTCATGCAGCGATACCGCGAGTGTCATGACTTCTACCACGCTCTGACTGGTCTGCCTATCGTGCGCGAGGGTGAGGTTGCCCTCAAGGCTTTTGAGTTTGCGAATACGTTGCTTCCCATGACTGGCTTGAGTGTCTTTGCGGCTGCTACCATGAAGAGAAGCGAGAGGCAGCGATTCGCCTCGATATACCTACCTTGGGCCCTGAAGAACGGGGCACGGAGCAAAGAGGTCATCAATGTATTCTGGGAAGAGAGACTTGAAGATGATGTTAGTGACTTGAGAAAAGAGCTGGGCATTGAGCAACCGCCCGATATGAGAGACATCCGAAAGAGGGAGAGGGAGGAGAAGAAGAGACTTAAAGAGCTGAGAGAGCAGGGGCTATAATTTTCTGCCTGTTCTCTCCCGTCTGGCTTCTCTTGCAATACCTGTACTCTACTGTATCAAATGTCAAATTTAGAATTGCCAATTAGCGTTGTTATTGAGGTCAAAATTACTGTTCCAAGATTCCTGATCTGTCAAGTCAATTGAATCATGCACATCATCGAATCATACGAGTAGAAACCCCAAATTTTGCCCTCAACGTCTGAGGAAGAGTTCCCATATTCTGCACCTTGAGCCATCACAGTCATTTTGTTTCCTTTCACTCGAGACAGAAAAGCAGGTCCCGCCCACGAATTCGCCTTCTTTCCTCGCTCTGATTCTCAATTCAATGGTATCACAAGCACCTCTTACAGGTCCAAATCGTCATCATCGTCCCACGCCTTGCGTCTGCTCACAACAATCTTCTCCTCCTCCTTGCTCTCCGACATAGCATTAAGAAGCTCCTTGAGTTGTGCTTCAGTGACCTTCTGTCGAAGTTGACCGGTTTGCGCAAGTGTGATAAGTCGGTTCTCGATGTCGGCGGCTCGCTCCTCCTTCACAAGTCGGATTCGGCCTAGGCGATCGGCGGCTTCGGGGTGGAGGATCTGGTTGAGGATGTGTTGACGAGCGTCATTTTGCTGCTGTCTATTCAAGGTCAGTAAGACAGTGTCGCGCGGTATGGATCGAGACAACTGACTGGCGCTGCTGCTGTTGTTCCTGGCTAGAAGGACCGCCTCCACTGCCACCAGCTTCAGCCTTCAGCTGCTCCAGGCGAGCTTTTCGTAACTGCGAAGAGCATCAGTGATGAGTTCTCGATGATACCGCAAGAGTGAGCAACCTGTTCTAACTCTGCGTCGTCCATGATTTTGATACGTGACAATGTTCAACGTTTTGGTGAGTCGCGAGATCAGCCTGACGCCGCGGGGTTGCTTTGCACATCGTTGGAGGGGCATTGTGTTACGTAAGCAAAACTAAGCAGCACATTAAACATCATGATACTATTGATTTAGTGTCCATTATTCTGTTAACTGACAAAGGGTTGTTGAGTGTATTTAGTATGAGCAATTCAAGTGCTATTGTGAAATCTCCAACCATATATAGATGCCCCAAGTGCTAATGATGCAATTCGTTAATACTATCCTATAAAAAGTCATTTTTAAACACGTGCTGCTGAAACTTCTTCCTAACATCGTTTGGTGATGCCTCCTGGATGGGTATGAAAGACCTTAACCTTTTATTTTGTTCAATACGTCGGGCCTTAATCATCTGAACCATCAGTTGATTTGTTGGTGTGTCTATGCCGAGAATCCTCGCCCGCTTCAAGAAGTATCCATTCTGATAGTTGATGTCTGTTTGCAGACCCTTGCTGATGCGTGTCAGCAGATCACTGGGGGCTTTGCTCTTGCCTGTGATGCGACGGTAGCAGAACTTTTTGAGGCCTTCTCCGCGGAGGAACTTTATGAGGTCGGGTGAGTTTTGGACCTCAGGCATGTTCTCCGTCACTATAGCCATTTCCCCTAGAAGCTTGTTCATCATCCTTTGAGCATTTCCATTTTCTAGTAGACCTTGGTATGAAAGGTCAAGGAGCACACAGACGGGCTCAACAGCAGCCGTGAACATAACGGAGGGTAGTTTGAATCTTAGCCAGTGCTCGTAATTACTAAAGGTTGTGTTGAGCTCTTTGACCCTTCTCAGCGAATGCATCATACTAGGCTGCTGCTCAACAGGTATGTAGAGCTCCTTCTCCGCATTCAGTACCGGATCGGCTTTGGTGAAGACTGTTCGCCCACTCCTCAACTCCTTAACAGATTCCCTGTTCCGGTTGAAAGCGAGCGCATGGGACATATGGCCCAGGTAAAAGTTGGGCTCGGGTTGGGTTCCGTTAAAGAGTTGTTCGCGGACTTGCTCGAGCACTCCCATGCCGTCGTTAAGAAGGCAAATCGATGTTTTATCGTCGATCCGATCTTTGACTGAAGCAATCGCCTTAACAGCCTCAAAGCCACGGCCGGTAACTATCAACTCATCGATATGCGAGCGGTCAGGTTGAGGTACAGCATCGCTCTCGAGCATGGCTGCATTCTTCTCGACATATGCATTCTTCCTTGTTCGTTCAGGTTGGACCTTTTCGATATTTCGATATCTTGACTTGGGCATCTCGCGGAATGGCACTGTCTCGACGGAATCATAAACGCTACATAGAGCGTGGGCGATGAATCTCGACCTGACATCTTCGCCCAGGATATGAATCTTATGTACTGGTCCAGATTTCGCTGCTTCAGCTGGAATGACAACCGAGGGGACGTAGAATTGTGACGAAGGGATTGTTGATGTAGGTGTGATAGATCCGGCTCGGGTACTAGAGCTTTTCCATGGCCGTGATGGCGTACTGCCGAGTTCTGGGGGTACGGCCTCTGGTTTCTTCTGTTCTGTCGGAGGCACTGCCGAAGCAAAGAGTCGTGTATAGCCGAAACTGGGGCTACTTTGGAGCCATCGGGTTGATTCTCTCGCTATTTGAATGGTCGGCCGCGTCTGCATTATAATTTCCAGCTTGAAGTTTGTGATCGAGTCGTCGTGGAGAGAAAAGGTGGTCGGAAGCCGAAAGATCGAGATTTAATATGTGCACGCGCGCATCCAGACTCGAGCGAGAGGGGATGGAGGCTAGCCTTCAGGACTCGGTTTTTGGTAAGTCTGATTAATAATAGGTCGGTTTGTTATCTCGTCAGTTCGTGAAGACGTTGAGTTGCGTTAGAGCTGGTGATGTCGATGCTAAATGGGTGATGCGCTGAAGAATGACAGAGGCGAGTCCGCTTTCACCTCTGGTTCGACATAGACCAGGGCCAATTAGAGTAACAAGAGCCTAAGTTTTCGATGATCAATAGTGGGCCTCAGAAGCATCAACAATTGGCCAATGAGTGCTCGGCTCCGATATCGTCTGATGCTGGAAATAGTGATGTTGAAGGCTACACAGCATGAAAAGGAAATGCAAGTAACAGAATTGGCATGCGGAGCTCACTGAAAGGAATCCACAATACATGGCATTCTTTTGTTTTCAGCTTGAGGAAGTTCTCTGCCCGCGATACCCTTTAGTTACATTACTTCGCTTCATGAATGCAAAAGCCACTAAGCCTGATTGGGTCTCATGGTTGACAAGTTTCTGCTCCTGTGCGAAGTCCTTCATGCGACGACGTGAACATCGCAACATTGCGCCTCTCAACATCCCTATTCACAAAAACCAACATGACAGACGTCAAGGACATCACACCGGAGCTCGATCGGCTGGACAACCAGCTCGATGATCTCGAAGAAAAGCTGCAGCCTTTGTTGGGCAACCTCGAAGGCATGGCCTCTCAGTTGCCCCTATTAGACAAGGCGAAACTGTTCTCACTTACAGCTTACGCGATCGAATCCCTAATGTTTTGTGAGCTCTCTTGCGCCTGATACGACGCCACATGATCAATACTAACATTCGCGATAGCATCACTGAAATTAAATGAGGGCAATGAGGCTCAAACACAAGCCGTTCTTACTGAACTCAAGCGAATTCAGCAATATTTTGGAAAGATCAAGAACATCGAGTCTCCCGCGGAGCCTGAGACGCGTACCCTGACTATTAACCAAGAGGCTACCGCGCGTATCCTCAAGGCGGACCTGGTATGTAGCGGCGAAGCCATGACAGATCCAAGACTGACAATTTACAGGGCGACAACAAAACAATCAGCAGCAAGCTTGCCGAGAAGATTGCAGAGGAACGTGCCAAGGCATTGCTCAAGTCTGTCGAGAACCGAAAGCGCCCAGCAGAGGAGTCGCCCGTTCCATCTCAGCCCAGCTCTTCTGCTGATGGAAAAGATAAGAACAAGAAGAAGCAGAAGAAGAACAAGAAGAACAAGTCGAAGAACTGAATTGCAAAGCAACATTATTATGCTAGTGGGCCAAGTGGTTGGAAAACGCACAGAAGTCTGGCGCCAGCTGATGATGGTCGAATTCAGAGCATGGAGCTTCAGGAGGAGGCTTACATTGATACCCAGCTTGTGTCAGGCAAATAGATGGCTGGGGACCTATATGGCCCCCTTGAAAAGTTGAATTCACTGGGCATGGCGTTTGGGAATTTGGGTTTGACTTTTTGACTCAGGGAGATAGTGACGAGACAAATACACTTAGACACCGGACTCTTCTGAAACGCAGCTTGCTTCCGAAATTTGCTTTCTTGCGGAATACAGTGAACTTTACATCTAAAGGGAGCACGGACTTGTGTTTCAATTGGCATATGCTTGTAAATTTGAGATAAGGCGTCAAATCACAAAGAGCTCCTTACTGGATAGTACCTCCCTTGTCATCCGGCATTGATTGATAGTTAAAGCTTATGACATCTCAACGAGACATATCAAGCCAACACACTGAAAAATACCAATTAACTTTAGGTTTCTAAAGGCAATATACATATAACCTCTATAAAGATAAGTCTCCTAATTAAAATCAGAATAATATGCTTTTATCATGACTCAATTAGTAACCTTAGTTAGCAGCTGCTGGGGTATAAGAATCCGTCTCAGACCTGATCCCTCATTGTTGTCATCCGGCATCGCATTAGATTTATGTTAAAGTTGAGCTCTTATCGCCGTAATACGTGGAAAGATAAGCCAGAGAGGTGACTAACAATTTTTCACCCCACCATTATCGGACGTGAGTCAAGGGGAGCAATCGCGGGGCACCCACAACCCCTCCAAGTTCCTACCCAAGGCCGTGATTTCTGTTTCCGCATTGATTGAAGCAGAAAACAAAGCACAGCACAAAATGGCGGTCATCTACGTCGACGAAGAAGCCGGAAGCGATCTCCCTGAGGTTCAGGGCACTGAGGCCGCCCCCTTCAAGACTCTTCTTGAAGCCTACTACCGCCACGGAGCCGAGTCCGAGTACCAGGTTAAGAAGAAGGACGATGAGGAGGGTTACAAGCCTGCTGCCAAGTCAGCACTGAAGAAGGCCGTCGCCTACGCTGCTCAGCAGAAGAAGAAGGCTGATGCTGCTGC